TAACTATTTATATAGAAGCGGATATTTCCAATTTGAGAAACGTTATTATTGCAAATAAATGCTTGAGTTTGCTTGACATAAATGCAAAACAGCGGCGTGGTTAAACAACAAAAGGAGTCCACTACCATACCTAAAACGTTTTCCGCTTAATCAACACTGGATTTCGAAAAAACTGTCTGGCGTAGCGCGATGAAATTTTCACTCATCACGCTCTCATCCTCTTTCACAGCGAACAATAAGCAATAAATTATTCGAAAAGCGACCGAAGCATCGGCGAGAAGAAGAAGAAAAAGAAGACGACCGATGAAACCATTTACCGTTTTCTCTGCGCATTTAAATGCAAAGATCCCAGTAGGCTATAAAAACAAATTCTGAGACTATTTATCATAAAGATCGTCCGTCAAGCCGGCCTTTCTATAACAATTGCCACAGTCAACACCGCCTTCTATGATTCCTTATCCCGAATGCTGATCGAGTCTGTCGTTATCCATCCTTGTCCAACACCTGCGTCAAATGCGCGTAGAGTGAGAGAGGAGGTTTTGCGTAGTCATCCTCTTATTAACATAACGTAATTGTTGTCATTCGTTCTGACACATTCCTTTGGATGTTTTGTGTTGAGCATTGTTCGGCCTCTTATTGGTCGAGGGCCGGTGATGGATCGACAGATACCAATGGGCATTAAAGGAATTTTAAGATCGATCAAGAACAAAAATAGGAATCTAGAATAATGCAGCTCTATCTCGATCGAGTCCATCTTGAAAGCATTGCTTTGTACTCTGTTGTTTCGTTTTTCGAATCCTAAAGCTCCTCTTATAGTGATTTTTAAGGATGTGTGTGAATAATAAAATCTAAAACATCTAGATTGGGCTCTTTCTTTTGCTGTCCTTCAGTTTGACAAGGACCTCATAGGCATTAAAGATTGTCGATAATGTTTTGATTTTAGTTTTAAAGAAGGGCATAACCTGCACTGCTGATATCATAAGACTGCATTGTATGGCCGAATCAAACCACGTATAGTTGTCGTCACCGTTCTTGACGGGTAAAAGTAAGGCTATCAGTATTCCTTTATATATATATATCCATCTCCCTCATACATACACATGCAACCTACCACTGTGTGTGAACGTTTCTTCGGTAAACTCAAAAACATATGTTTTTTAGTTGTGTGTCTCCGTCTCCAAAATTTTATCGTTACGTATATTACGCCAACTATATTTGTCAGAGTGACGACTTACTTGACATAGGAGTGCAATTTTAGTTGTCCTGTTATCAATCTTCAATATGAAATTGTACAATGTCCGGAAATACGATCAACGGAGAAGGCCGACATCTCGTACTAAATTTATTAGAGTATTTCTTGCTAGAAATGAATGAAAACATGTGTTTACTTATTTAATATGGCGTTGATGACGTAACCGCCAAGAACAGTGACTGCAACTATAAATGTTTTGATTTCGGTTCATTGTACGACGTTCCAGCCACCACGGTGGCCTGTTTCAAGTACAGTGATCATCAATGACAGTATATGCTTGCTTATTTGTCTTCGAGATGACAGTTCATTTATTTTTCTTTTATTTATCCCTATACAGTGTGTTGTGATGATAGACTGAACTGTCCTATGGCATGCCTTATTTAAACGTATGCCCTGGTTCTCATACATTCTCACTAAGATACTATTCTGACGTGTCTAGTTGTAATTCTACATTTAAAAGGTCTCGATGTGATACAAATGCAATGTAGCATTTACTGCAAACACATCGCATTTTATATATCGAACTTTTTGTGCTCATATTTTCATTAAAACCATAGAACAAGTTTCAAGAGTTACATTGCTCAGATTACATCATCTACACACTTCTGAAAAATAAATGTTCTATACATTTTCATTGAGCAGTTCCCATTCAAACAGCAAATTTGGTCTTTCTTCTGTGAATATGTCAGTACTATTTATCATTGCTAATTTAGTTGTAATACATGAGGTTATATTCTACGTCTAATGATTTGCGTAAGCGTTTGGTTAATATTGAGTAATTATTTGTTTAACACTGTGTCACTCAAAGTTAATGGCGCAAGAAATGACCATGTTAGATAATGCAAACACATATCTTTATGTTGGTTCATACGTTTGGTGTAGCGATTTTTCACGAAGGTTCCATATAATGAGACGTTGTTTGGGCTTCTCCTACAGTTTGGTCTGCTGTTAAAATGTGTCTATGCAATTATGCGATATTTTTTTTAAATATCAAAATTATGCCAATTAGCGACACAACACATGCTGGCGAAGTAGTGATAATTACGTTCCAGGTGGAGAAATGAACTACTCGTATTCTTAATAGAAGACTTTTATTAGGAAACCGATGTAGATGTCTAATCTCCGTGGATGTTTTCAATCCAAATTGCGTTCCTCATGTATTTGGGTATGACTATGCCTGACACAGAAAAAGTTTAACGAACAGACAAGATTCTATGGACTGCTGTAGCAGACAATGACGAATACTGAGTGCTTCTTTTGGATGAAAATACGTCATTAACGCAAATCAAACGCAGATTCTATTTGAAATTTTAACAATAACGTCAGCAACTGCTGGAAAGCAAATTGTCATATTTTAAGTCATTTGTTTTGTCGTATGATTCAATCCATCCCTGTGTGGTGCTTCAGGGTTTCAACTCCCGCGCTTCAGTGCGTGAGAAACGCTCGTACGTATATGGTTAACGCGGTTGCGTCACGACGGCAATCACCATTCTTATTTGCATAAGAAGCAAAACGTTTATAGTTACTGTAAGATTGCTTGCTAAGCCAAACGCACTGTAAATTGCAACTGAATACGAAAAGGCTTTTAACCGTACCCTATAGTATTATAACTATGGATTTTTAATTAAAGATAGTTACTACAACATTAGAAAGTTCGTGAAGTATAACATTTAGTCAATTTGTAGGGCAAATACTCTGAAGCGATGAAACATTAGGTTATGCGTAGTTTGGAGTGTTGAGAATTTATTTTGATGATAATTTTTTTTGACTACTTTTTTGGGTATATAATGTGGGGAAAATCACACGTTCCGCGGGTAGAAAGCATCCATCTGCTCTTTGAACCAAACTACCCCTGTCCATTAATTAACTGTGATTTGAGGCATTCTGAGAGAATGCTGTTCTTGCTCTGAAGAAATTCCATCCGACCCATCTGACAACGCTGTGCTCTGACAGATCCATTAATGAACACTATTCTAATAGTCTAAGATCCGACTTTTTTAAGATGTTTGCCTTTTTGATAAAACCTGTTTTTTATGAATGATAAATAATAACAGAACAGGTTACAGCAGGTTGCCTGGCAGATTCAAACGGCGGGATCTCGTACTATAACCTCAGATACTCTGCGCATGTGCAATAGCTGGTACTCACCTCGATCATTGTACTTACTCCCAGGTTATAAATGTGTTTACTTCTCAAACATGGTATGTACTATTTACCTAACTTGAGCTCTCTAGAAGAAAGAAAACCATTTGGGTCGATGAATCACTAGATTAAGGCTCCTAAAATTTCTTATAATATACAAAATTGGAAATAATGAATGAATAATTGTAACAAATGATGTATTTTTTTTTTTAAGGTACGAAATGTGGAAATTACAATTATTCCAATTTTTGTTCATAAAATTTAACGTCATACTTCAAGATACTTTACTCCTTTGGAGGGTTACTATTTTAAATTGAAATTCTATGAAAACTGCTTTTGCTAGTAACCTCCCTGGGACTATCTAAGCTCAGCTTTTAGACAGTGTTGGAAATCTGAATAACGACCACTTGTCGGTAATATACCACCGTCTTCTTCCATTCCTCTAGTAACATTCTAATCTTTTAGACAGAAACAAGTCAGAAATAACATGTGCATGTAATCAATAGTCAAAAATATAGGTACCTAGTAACCTTTTTACATCTCCACTTAATAATATCATAAAGTAATATAGTTTATCTCTGTTATATTGCAACATGAAATCTTCGTAACCATTTAGGAAAAATTATAGACGTTAATCTGGTGACATAGGGGATGATATTGAAAAGCGGCCCACGCTTATCGGTTTTTCATTGAATGTCATACATACTTTAAAAAAAATCATAATTCCTGCCAAAAATCAAACATAAAATTCCAGGCCCCGTCTTTAAGATGAGACCCTGTTTTTACCATGCAAAGTTTTTTTCAGACGTGTTCTTTCTGACAATGATGGCTTGTTATGAATTGTATATCTGGAGTATAAGCGCATTTTTTTCTGCAACCAGTGGGAAGGACATAGGGCTTGAATGAGTTCTCTTACAATGTTCAAGTTTCGAATATGTTTTTTCAGCCTGCGAGCGAAAAAAGGGGGATAAACTGCATCTGTCAATAATTAATTCTACCATCTCTTCACATAAAATGATTCATCTTGATTATTTGCTATTTTACTTCCCACGCCAATTGGCGAGTAAGCATTGTAATCGCGAAACAAGTTGAAAACGAGATATTATGTCTTCTACTACATAACACGCACGAAAAATCATGACACTAATTTTAATCAGTCTGTCTCCGAATAGCGTTGAATTCAAACATAAGAAAGAAACCGGATAGAATTTTAAGACTGAATCATTTCTGGAATCATTGGCACACTAAAGACATCGGTCTAGGGAGTGAGGTAATTTATAAAAAAACACCACAATCTATTCACATATACACAAGTATGTTCATGGTGAATATATTCTAGTTATCACTCTTGATGACAGAATTGCGTTGAAACTATAGAGTCACTATACTTGACGCCATGTTTTTGGGTGTGGATAAAGATAGAGGGTGTGCCTGTCCTTGTTCCTATTTGGGTAGAAGTAAGTAAAGAAAGTCATATATAACGGAAACATTGTAACTCTATGCTGTACAATGACTTTTGAACCCGTTCATCCTGTACATGGCGCTGAATCAGTCCCTGTTCACGCCGCAGGGCCGAACTCCCGCGCACCGATCAGTGCGTGAGAAAAAAGGAGCGTACAGACGGTGTCACGATGGCGGCGGCGTTCATCAGAATCTTAGTCGGCCGCGACTTGAATGCATGAGAACAAACGAACATCGTATGCACCGACTGTCAGAAAAGAGCGAAGAGTAGAAGGATAATGCTGCGAAGTGCCTTCATCCTTTCACTATGCTTCGCGAGTGGTACCGTAAACCTCCGCGATCTCCAGGCGCCACCACTTTCCACTTTTGACTACTGATCTGGGGCTGCTTACTGATTGGTGCTACCACTGTCGATGCAGCCTGTTGTTGCTGTCGCTTCTGCTGCCGTACCGTTTTGTTGTCAGTTGACGCGGAACAAGTATCATCGGTTGCAGGTTGTTTTGAAGGTGCCTTATCAGTGGTTTGTCAAGAGATGAGTTAGTACTCCGTTCAGTAAGTTGACAACCCCTTCATTTAATGATAGACATAGTATCAGGATATAGTTACAATTTCTTGTTGCGATTCCAATGTACCATTTGTCCATTAGTTACAAAAATATGCTGTCACTAGGGTATCAAATATACAGTCCGACTTTTTGATCCCCAGTCCCTTTCAGGATTCACAGGTGTAGCAAACATTCTTTTCGGCTTATAAGGTTCTTTAAAGTCATATTTCCATACCCCTCAGTTTAGGCTTTATTTCAGTATTCACTATGCATTCTTAGATGTGATGATCTATAAGTAAACATAAATATTTTGCTATACTATGGAAGAGTTTTGGTTACCAAGATTGATAATTTCACCTCAGCTTAAAAATCCACTGCACTTTCCATAAGCCATGGTGGGTGCTTCACATCATTGAGGTTTTTGGGTGGATTTAAGAAAGATGTCCATTATTTTGCACTAATGCTTTCATAATACAAATAAGTTTATTTATAATAATAATAATAATAATAATATTTATTTACTCAATGTACAAAGATAACAAACAATATGAGTAAATAAATATAAAATCAAAACAGGCCCAATAGAAGGCATCGCCTGTACATGGACCAATAATTTAAGTTGAAACTGTAGAATGCAAATGACAAAAAAGGACAAAAATTAGCTACAGTAGATTATGTATTTAGTTGATGTTCGTATTTATGAGTTTATGAATTTCAGTCCTAGATATAGAATGTAGCCACTTTTTTAAATTTCTTTTGAAACAATTTCCGAAACGTAAATCTTTTAAGTCTTTAGGTATAATTTCATAAAATTTAGGCGCTAAATAGAGATATGATCGCTGCATTATAGATTTATGCGGTTGAGGAACTACTGTGCCACGAATTTTGTACCTGGTATAATGATTATGTTTAATTTTTTGGTCGGTGTTTACAAATTTATGGTAGTGAGTGATACTGTGTAAGAAATAAAGCTGTCTTATATCATACATTCGAACATCTGCATATAATTTTTCAGTGGGATAAAGTTTCGGTTTTTTAAATATCGTTTTTAGAATACTTTTTTGAAAAACATCTAAATTATAGATATGTGAGGAACATGCAGCTCCCCATGCTAATATACCATATGTGAGATGAGGCTCAATCAGTGCATGGTATAATGTTCGAAGATATTTTTCTGTCAATATATTCCCAAGGTATTTAATTTTGTAGGATACAAATCTAACTTTCTTTAAAATATAATTGACATGGATGTCCCATCGTAAGTGAGGATCCAAGACCACTCCAAGGTATTTTATGTCTATTAATTTGCATTTTTTGATCATTAATATTAAAGGACAAATTTGTGTAATTTGGCAAATGTCTAGCATAAGATCCAAATGGTAAAAAATGTGTTTTAGAGTAGTTAATGCTTAATTTTCTACTGTTAAACCACCGAATAATTTTGATAAAATCATTTTCAATTACATTTTTCAGATCAGACCAGTCAGTGCCTTTATATAATATTGCAGTATCATCTGCAAAACTAGTTGTGATATCTGCACAGATTGTGGGCGATTTGACAAATAACTTTCGATCAGTGAGTACGCGTTTCCTCTGAAACCAATTCTCTCCAATGCTTCTAATAATAATTTGTGATTAACTGTGTCGAAAGCTTTCTTTAAATCAACAAAAATGCAGATTGAAGGGATTCTGTTATCAATATTTTGATATATTTGATTTACAATTTTAGTTATTGCGTCCGATGTAGCCTTCCCTTCTGTAAATCATGCATACATACACTGCTTAAAATGTCACTTACGTAAATTAACTCAAATAACCGACAAAAGAACGAGTCCTTGTGAACATCAATGATAAATATTTATGTATAACACTGCTCAATAATCTCGATAATCAAGTACAATATTTATAAATATGCAAACAGTAAGCAAAATGATCAAATTTTATTAATTTAATAATCTTTTCTAAGAACCGGTCTTGATACGTATAAGGTGCCGATTTTTGAACTGTATAATTTTTTTTGTTTCAACTTTGAACTTGTTCATTTATAAAATGTATTTAAGATAGATAGTAGAAGATGACATAAAAAATAATTTGATTATACAGCTTCCACGGCATTTTGGGACTATTGCTCAACATATTTCAAAAATGGTGAACGCGCTATACCTTTAAATGCTTAGATCGGCTTGTCATTTTAGATACATACAGTTTAGGAGTGAAGTTTCAAACGCGAATAACAAACGATTAGAATTTACTGTAGTTCGTACTATCAGTATTTACTGATCATTCCGTCACTGTCAGTCGCTTTCTAGGTAGCCCCTAATAAATCAAAAATTACTGATATCCTGGATAACTCCACTACCTAATACGATTTTTCGCATATAAAACGTCAATAGCATTTTTAAAACTTTAAAAAGAATATTTGAGCCTTAACCGGAAAGAATGAATGTGGAACTGATTTAATCACAGTCGTATTGAATTATTTAAAATAAATATCTTGATACCGTATTTTGTTAATTTGCTGGTGGAGCTCTACGCTATATTGCCACGATGCCACGTAGCTGCGTTTTGACTGGCACGTCTCTTTAGTAACTGAAAAAAGTCCGGAAATATTTCTCGACATCAAATAAAGAGTAGAATGATCGGAACTTAATCGGAGCCACTAATTCATAAATCGATTATGGGTAAACCATCAAACTTACAGGTTTGGTTTGGGATGGCATTCCACTTTTCGTGATATCCGAGCTCCAGCGCGTCCACAGACCGGAGCCCCGAAAAAAGTGAGACAAAATTGGTAACAAAATGAGTAATTTTGAAGAAAAAATAATTGAAAGATGGTAATCCGGAAGCAATCATCTGAACATTGAAGAGTAGAGGGGAGCGTTGCATAAATCAGGCAGCGCTTCTGCAAGCGAGTACTGGCGATATAGGACAGTGGGGAAGGGGTTTATGCTTAAGCAGCACAAAAGTGAACGTATCTTTAACAAATGAAGAGAGAGAAAGAGTTATTTATCCCGTTTCCTCGATAAACCAAATATCGATTATTCAATTTAGTGAAGCACCTAAACATCTAGGCGGGCAAACTGCATTGTAAAACTAATGAAATAATGATTAGAAATGGGAGAAATGAGTTGGTGTAGGCCCTTCCGAGCTCCTCCAGAAACTTTTTCTGAATCCGCTAGTGTCCATGATGAATATTTACGCATCACAGTAAATTCTGATCATCTATATCTCCTTATGAAGTAGTTTTCTGCGGTAACTGTTCTCCTGAAAATATTGCCTCATTGTTTTGGCTTTGGTGGCAGTCGGCAATATATTTATTTTTAATAACTATACCGTTGTTGGATATACATATCCTATGAACGTTAATACTGTATGTGTATTTGGGTTTTATACAAACACATGTTTCCCATGCCCCAAGGACAGGCTCCGTTTCGTCTAAGAGCTTTGGTGGGAAGTGTACTATAAGAAGATTTATTCTATATTGATAAATAACGAACGCTCAGAGTTTTGAACGTCTGCATGTACAGCCATAAAAAATGTTGCAAATGACTTTATATCCTCTTTTATTACACCTTATCTTGCTAACCCCGCAGATTACCTTTCGGCAAAAGTGCAAAGTGATATTTTGTTATCTGGTAAACGTCGGCTATGCTCATTTTATTATCTATTTCGGGAAATTATATTCTTAGGAAATACAGACACAGTTAACAATAATCCTACAATTAGTGAATTTTTAGCGATTTTCAGTCATAAGCTACTAATTGTGAAAGTCTCAACAGAGAAGCAGCACTCTGATGAATTACAATATATACTATTGAATTATTCACCTCCATAGTAGGAATTATTCAAAGTGTTTTGAGTTATCAGCAGTCGAGCCATGCAGCACTACTTTGCAGCTTAAATTGCTGATTTTTTAGACATGGATATAGTTTGATGAAATAATCCTTTGGAGTCAGGTATGATCTATGTCTGATGAATGATGATGTCATTATTATATCCTATATTCAATACGAAGGAAATTAATATCATTTGCAACAGCAATTCATACCGTAGATGTGCTTGCTTTATATTTCCTTAACGATGACCAACCACAGTCAGCGCTGTTCCGTGCTATTTAGCACCCATTAGTGCGGTATAAGATTAGTCTTGAATACAGAAAAACTGGAAAGCAAACACATGAGTATAGTCTTTTGAAGGACCCACTTATCAGGTGGACTGTTTCAATGATGGTGGAACGACATCTGTCTGCACATGAGACAGAAGTCGAGCAGTTATAAATCAGAAGACGTAGGGGTCTTTCTGACATTTTCAACGTATGGGTGGAGGATGAAAACAACGTTGACAAACTATTTTCAGGTGGCTACCATCAGATTTTTCAAGTATTTGCGCACAAAGATTTATACCTTGCCACTGGAAACTGTGTGACTGGTTCGTAGATGTTCGTAGTACTGTCACAGTAAGTCGATACAAAAATCATACATCTATGAATACTGTGGCAAATAGCGATCTTTTTCGATTTCGATATATACGTGAAAGCATGAGGCCAAAATCGATAAGTGCAATTTTATGTATTTGGTTGATTCACAGCTGTCATACGTACAGATGCGGCTGTGAATGTTGGTTCCTTTGATCTTGGTGTCACCACCTATTTGACAACTGTACTACAAGTTACCATGGGTGTCTGCTGGAGTTTTTTCCGAAGTGCCCAAATAAAAAATGTATGATTATGCTCCCGAAGGAGTCTACCTTCTCATATTAATTAAATAGTAAATAAACTTGGCATTGATGATTTTCTAGAAAAACAGCTCCAAAAGGTGGCACATTTTTCTATTGCGTGACATACCTTTTCAAAAAATTGTTTGAACAGTGACGGATCTTACCAAACTCAATGTTTTGACAGGCTTTCACCTCCTTGTGGTTGCTTTGTGATCGACATTAAAATACGTAATACCTGAAGACGCGCAAATCATGTGACCATGAAGTGAATTGCATCTCCATGTATCTGCTG